GTAAGTCCCTCTTGTTTTGTCTTTGGGTAATTAACTCCGGGAAGCCAAAGGGACTCCCCAGAAAACCAGCGTTGATTGTAATGAAACGCCATTTTCTGGGTGAGACCCCAGAGGCTCCCCGGCATCCTTTCCACCCCTCCGGTTGGCATTTTTTTTGCAGTTTAGACATCCAGCCTCAGAACTGTAGGGTGGATAGCTGGCACGGGGGTCTGGGGCTCCCCTTTCCTACTCCAAGGGAAAGGGGGGGTTGCGCAGACAGTGGCACGTTGAGGTAGTGATGTCATGCTTGTTTGCTCATTTTCATTTGGGGAGTTCTGTCCACTAGTTCGGCTTTCAGCAGCCATATTTTCACCAGAATAGGGGTTTCTTTGGGGTGCTTACCTTTCTGGTGCCTGACCCAGTCGATGGCAGACATAGGATGATTCCAATCACATGGGGGGGGTTTTTATAGGCCATTGCTCCTCGTGCCTCTCTGAGGGGGCCTCTTTGGCTCGTGGTCCCCGGTAGGCCTAGAACTTCAAGTGCATTGACTGATGTCAGGATCTAATACATTCATATCAGCCCGGTTAGCTTCGGGGAGTCTCCGGATCTCGGCCGGAAAATGGCATTTCATTACATTCGATGCTGGTTTGTTTTATTTTTGGCACAAGACTTGCCCAAAATGCTGAGCATTATTAAAAGCTTTATAAAGCCTAAACATTTTAAATGCAAACACAAACCATGTAACCATGTACTCTCTTATATAAAAATGATTGGACTGAGTTGAGCCAGGAGGAAATTATCAAGTACTGTATGTAGAATACTATAATTAAAAATAAAAAAAAGGTGATGCCAAGTAAAATAAGACTTGCATCCCTAAAAAAAAAAAAAAAAAAAAAAAAACTACTGTACCTACTTATAGTATAAGAAAATATTAAGGCCATACAGTTTGATCAAACCCACATGCCAGGACTCCCTGGGCATATGCACTACCACCTAGTGTGTCTAGGGATGTGGGTTCAATCCCATCAAGCTGCCTCGATATTCTGTCATCTACATATCCTGTTCTTGTGATTATATTGTGCAGATAATATCTCAATATGGGCAAAGGGTGGCAAATTAATTTTTCCTTATACAGTACAATCGATGAGTAAAGCTCGTAACTTTAAAGGATTCTTGAAACTGGATTCAGGAAACCTGCACTTAGGTACACAGTACTGAGGTCCACCTCCCCTTCCCCTAGGCCAACTACTAATCTTTCGCAGCATGCATTCCACAAGAGTTGCTTAACTCCAAGGTGCCTATTTATTGCTATATGAACAGAGGAATTGGCTGACAGAAACTACACCAAATTGTGTGTCCTGCCTGAGGATTAAACTTGGGTCCTTCCGTTGTGAGCCAAGGATGTAGACCATTGCTACAGGACTCATAAAGACCTGATGCAGAGATTTAATCCAATCGCTAAAATAACACACTGCAAATTTAAAATCCATACAGTATTAGAACTATGATAAAAACTTTCATAGCATATTGTATGGAATAGCTTTAAAATTTGTACACATTTAACAAAAATATCAAATATCTACAAAAAAAATTCTTAAAATATGAAATAAAATTGCATTCATTGCAAAATTCTTAGGACATAACTTTGAACTACGATTGATTATTTCTTCCTTGCAGCAGAGTACAGTATGTGTGTGGAAATTTTAGAGCAACCATGCTTATTGATTTTTGAGACCACTCAGTCACTATGCTCCCTTCCCCCCATGATTTTGAAATGCTGCTAAAATCTGGCACCAGGGTGTACATTACCCATTAACATTAACAGTAGGTATTTTCTTTGCACCAGTATTCAAGATACTGTATTTACCTTGACCATTTGAGCCTGGAATGGGTTCTGGGGGCAGTTCTCCCCAAGCCCAGCCTGGGGCCAGGCTTGACTTGTGATACTGTAACTTGATCTAAAAAGCTGTTGCTCAATGGTCTGCAGGCCCACATATCCACTACTACACAATTGATCCAACACTTCTTGCAAGAAATTTACTAGTTGTCTTGAATGCATCCACTTTTGTTCAAGCAATATTTGTGAGAATATTGAATAATCTTGGACCTCCAATGTTCGTGTAGTTTTCTCTGCCTATGGCACCTCTATTCTTCATTGTGCCCATTCTGCATTTCCTACAATATGAAAACTTTAGATATTCCTTGAAGGGATACCCTAATTATGGGAAAACTGTGAACTTCAGGGATCCAAGATTCTTCAGTCCAATACCAGCACAACCCTTAAAGTGCGCATCACGTCATATGACGTGTTGGACGTTGTTCCAGTCAACTGCGCATCACGTCATATGATGTGTTGGAGTACTACGCAAGATTTAAACGGCCCACGGATACACGGGGTTCACCACACCTTCATCAGGGCTCTTGTAAACAGACGCCATTTTTTTAAAAAATCGTGGGCCAAACTCCCGGGTGTTATTGGCCTCAGTATTGAGTGAGCAACCAATCCTGATGCATGCAGCATGAGCTAACAGCACTGCTGTTCAGCTTGTGACCACAGCATCGCCTAAAAATGCCAAAAATATACTTGTTCATGCTATTATGTAGCGATGATATTATTACAGAAGACCCCTGACTGTGATAAAACTGACCAGGGTTCTGATAATAGCAGGATTGTGGTGATATTTAGTGCTGTGCGCCATGGAGGGAGGAGTAATGCTGTGGGAGGGAGGGTGGTGGCGATGTCTTCTGACTGTGTGGCCACCTTTTATTGACTGCACTCAGCATACCAGCTTAGTGGTTCGCTATGGTGAACACAAATGTAGATACTTATATATAACGTGTGTATAGAGGGTATAAACAGCAAGAGAAGGTTTGGAGCCGCCATTTTGGTGAGGGCGGTGTGCCGTGCAGACGACGGTGTTGTTTACTGGTTACCACGATGGTCTTTGGGCACCATACCAGTATATTTGTAAAAGTATGGTGAATAAAACAGGTAGATATTTATATATAATGTGTGTATATAGCGTAATAACACCACACAGTATTGTTGGAGGAGAAATATTAGTGCATCTGGCCTTGAGGGTGGCTGCCATCAGCTGACTGTGTGAGGTCCCACGTCTTTGTGCCTTTACTCACCATGCAAGCTTAGATGTACAGTTATGGTGAACAAAACATGTAGATACTTATATATAACGTCTGTATATAGTGAATTATAGAAAAAACATTATTGTGGGAAGATAATGTGGGTGAGTCAGATGACTGGAGGGAGGGCGGGAGTGGCTGACTGGTACACGGTGGTCACTCCTCATTACTGTACTTTTTGACTCGTAATAGCTACATACTTAGTGGTTCGTTATAGTGAACAAAACATGCAGATACTTATATATAACCTGTGCTTATAGTGTAATAACCGACAAAGTATTTGTTCACTGACTGATGAACATAATTGAATCAGCAATATGCACACCATATTTTTGAGTACAGCGATGATTCACTCATTATATAAATATATCATACTACACACTATTGAATAATATTACAGCAAAAAAACTATGAAAAATCAATCAGAGACATTGAAATAATTAGGTAATTATCTCTTTGTGGCAACTCCGGCCTGACAGCTGGCGAGCAACAGACCGCCTGGGACGCATGCTGAGTCAGCGCCTATAATTTGCCAAACTTCCCCGCCCTATAGCGGGCAATATATGCCACTTACGATTTTTTTATTATTTTTCCGGTGATCAGTGAACACAAATTAACAGGTTTGGAAGAAAAAATAATTTTTTTTTTTCAAAATGACATGCGCCTGTGGGGATGACAGGATATTAAACCCCGAGCATGTTAAGGGTTAAGGATCAAAATACAATACAGTACTCATACATAAACATAAAGTGTGCAGACAATGAGTCACAATAACGTGGCTGAAGATATGAAGACCAAACCACACACTAGATGATGAAGAGACGCCGTGACATCTCATCTTCAATACTTGATGATAAATGAGTAACACTGAAAGTTACTCATTTATCAAATTTCAGAATGCTCTTTTTATTAGATTTATCCACACTGGTAGTACTGTTACTACATTCTCAATTCATAATTGAGAATCCCAAGTTCAATTCCTGGGCAGGACAGAAATGGCTGGACAACAAATTGCTTTCACCTAATGCCTCTGTTCACCTAGCAGTAAAATCAGAGGTAGGCAACTATTGCAGGGTTGCATCCTGGGAAAAGTCAGTAGTTCAACCAAGGGGAAACCTTGATACAAGCCTAAGGTATACTGTAAATAAACACAGGCATCATGTCTGACAAAACAAATTGATTTTGAATTACTGTAGAGTATATTGAAAAACAATTATTGAACAATGGCACAGCCAGGTCAAAAGTGATTCAACTCCCGGACAGGACAAATAGTTGGGCAACTTTCTTATCAGTGAAATGGGTAACTGGGAGTTATTAGCAAACTGTTGTAGATTGTATCGTGGGGAGGGTCAGTAGTTGACCTGAGAGAGGGAGGGAGGGAGGGGGGCCTTGATACATACATGCTTAATGTTCTTAACAACAGGAATGATTCATATTAGCTATCTGGTTTAAAGTAGTAGAAACTTGACCAATCAGGTAATCATAAGTAGTAGTCTAGTCTTGGGCTGGGATGAAAGAGTAAATATTCTGACTCAAGATGAATGTCACGATCATATTGATGACCAAACCATACATCAGAAGATGGAGAAACGATGACATTTTGGTACGTCCTGAGCCATTATCAAGTTGTGTGTTGCAGGTGAGCAGCTGTGGATGATCACAGGGATCCATGAGCAGAAAGACCAAAATGTTATAGTTTCTCCATCTTTTGATGTGTGGTTTGGTCATCATATCTTCAGCCATGTTATTGTGACTCATTGTCTGCTCACATTCATATTATTCACACAAGGAAAATTACTGCAAAAGTATAAATTTATTTCATATAACTTTAGAGTACGGTACAGTATTTAGCTTTGATGGGCACAGTACCTGCTTACCATCATCCTGAGTCAGGAGCAGAGGCTGGCTAGCTGAGCCTTCTAATTCTGCAGCAGATGTTGGAGGCTTGGTGGTATGCCCCTGCTGGGTGAAGGCAGTATTATGAGCCCTCACCAAGTGGCCTCTCACCCTAAACACCTCTCTCATGGGTGGAATGAAAATGAGGCAGCTGTAACAGGTCACCATGATGATAAGGGTTAGGAGGAAAATAAGTCTCCTGTGGGTGGGGAAAACGTCGGCCAAGGTGGCAATGACGGGCTTCATGAACACCACCAGCAGGAGGGATATGGCGGCCAGTGTTCCAGTCAATGACACTGGGATCCCCAACTGGATTCCCACTACGATCAGGAATGGAAGGATTGGGGCCACACCTGGACAGTGGGTGAATATGAACATAAGAATTAAAGGAACAGCAACAGGCCTATTGGGCCGTAAGAGGTAGTTCCTATATACTGCATTCACCCAAACTCACTCATATATATGTCTAACTTAAGCATGAAACAATAATGTGATCCCAAATCTATTATGTTAGGAGGTATTTTTCTCCATAGATCAACTTCCATAAAACATGATCACAAACAATGTCAGCATAAATTAAGATAAAGAATTATTAAAAAATAAGTTGTGTGTACAGAGGAAACATCATTAAACATAAGAGCACCATCAGGTAGCATTTTTTGGACCTCTTGTTTTACTTGTATACTGTAAATCAATAGCTTAACAAATGCATCATAATACATAAACCCAAATACAATTTGTTGATGTCAAAACCTTCATTTTCACAATTACTAACCCAGACAGCTTAAATGACACAGTACAGACCAAACAACTAAAGTCCATATGTGGCTGATTTATTTCATTTATTTATATTCAAGGTACATTGGGTTCAGAAGGTACATAGATTGCAGTAAATGTGTTACGTTCTTGTAAAGCTAATAACATGCATAGCATTTTGAGCAGCTCCTTAAGTTAATACTAAAAGTAATAATAGGTACATTGTAACAGAATTTGAGTTCAACATAATGACTACATTACAAATTGATAATGTAAATTATACTGATGAAGTTGTATGTCTTAAGTACTAAAATGGGTGAGTTGGTAGCATAAAGTGAGAGACTATGAGGATGAAATTTGGTACTTTTTGCTTTTACTTTTGAATAGAGTATAGGTTGGACATTTTTTTTAATTCGTTAGAGAGTGAGTTCCATACACTTTGTCCTTTTATTTATATGGAGTGTTTGCATAGATTTAATGACTCAGAATATCGAGGATATTTATTTCTGGTGTGGTGCTCATGGGTTCTATTACATCTATCAAAGAAGAGTTTCAAATCAGGATTAGAATCAAGGAATAAGGTTTGGTAAGTGCAAATAGAACGAGTGTGTGGAGTAAGCATATGTTTAGCATGTCTAGGGATTTAAATAGAGGGGCTGTGTGTTCTCAGAAGTCAGAGTTTGTTATAGTTCTGATACGTAGCAGATTTTTGCTGGGTGATGATGGGTTTGAGGTAGTTTGTAATGGTTGAACCCCATGCACAGATATCATATGTTAGATAGGGATAGATTAGTGAGAGTAGAGTGTAAAAAGAGTAGAGCACGGAACATATGATTGTTGTGAGTACAGTATACCAACAGTTTTAGAGAGGCTTTTGGCTGTGTTGTACATGAGTATTGAAGTTTTCTCTTGCCTATGTATGAGCCAAGGAGCTCTCTCTCATTTTTACTGCTAATGTTGATATTATCTATCTGAAGGTGAATTTGGCTTGATTTGCATCCATATAAAATATAATAAGTCGTTTCTGTTTAGTGTGTGTGTTGGTCGACCTCCATGAGTGGACACTCTTTAATTCGTTGTTTACAATATTATTTTAGAGTATGTGGGTTGGGGTATGAGCAGATAAAGATTGCATTATCTGCAAACAGAATAGGTCTAATCAAGAACATTAGACACATTTAGCCAGTCATTGATACCTATATGAATGAAATAGGAGAGGTCCTAAGATGCTGCATTGTGGCACTCATATGGTTAATGATAAGAGTAGGAGAGGCTGTGTTATTGATAGCTGCATATTGGTGTCTGCCATTAAGATATAATCGAAAAAAGTTCAGAGCAAGGCCCCCGGATTCCATAATACTGTAATGAAGTTCAAGTAGGAGGTATATATGATTTATATTACCAAAGGCTTTTCTCAGGTCAATGAAGAGGACAACTGGAAACTCATTTTTTGTCGAAGCCTGTGCAGATTATATGAAGTGAACAAATAATGGCACCATTATTTTTGTTTTTCCAGGGATATTCCTGCATGGGCCCTATGCCTCTGGCTGGCCCACTAAGTGTTACTTGTTTCCTGTTTCTGTTTTACATATGCAGTGTATGAGTATTTATGACTCGTATTTTTGCTTCAGTAAGATTATGCCTAATATACTTAACTTCTCATTTCCTGATTCAACTCTGTTGAATTTTAATAAAAAGTCTATAGTTTATAACTACACTGTTAATGCTCCAGTGGTCTGTCAGGCAATTCTCCACAGTGCTGATGATATGTTGAATTTTAAAGGGTAGGAGTAAAGCTGTTTGTAAATAATTTTTCAAATATTTTTTATAAGATTGGTAGGTTTGATATTGGTCTGTAATTGTCTAAGTCACCTATACAGTATCACCTTCTTTATGAACTGGAGTTACTTGTGCATTTTTTAAGGATATCAGGAAAAATATGACACTCAAGAAAGTTGTTGAATAATTAGAGCTGTGGTTGGTGCAAGGGCATGAGCGGCACTTACATGAAAGTACTTATACATGAAAGAGTGCAAAATACTAGCACTGTTATAGTATTTCTATGCAACAAAATAACAAAAATGCACATGGTGCAATTTTGTGACTGTTGCATTCGCATTTTTGTGATATATCAAAATGTGCACATATTTACTCACTCACTCTCTCTCTCACTCTCTCACTCTCTCTCTCTCTCTCTCTCTCTCTCTCTCTCTCTCTCTCTCTCTCTCTCTCTCTCTCTCTCTCTCTCTCTCTCTCTCTCTCTCTCTTGTATACCATTTGTATATGAAAGGCGGGACCAAAGAGCAAGAACTCAATCCCTGCAAGCACAATTAGGTGAGTACTGTACTTGTACATATATTCTCAAAGTTATACGTAATGACCACCACCTTTGACACATCAATACTTTGATGTGTTGCTTTGCTAGAACAAAAAATTAAACTTATAAACTAATTATAAGTGAGAAATGACAATTTGGCTTGAATTATGCTACAATGTAATTAATAATACTTTTACTGTTAGATTAAGGACCTGCCCAAAATGATATGCATGTTACCATAGTGGCTTTGCAATACAGTAAGAATACCAATGTTATGTACTCCTACAATCCAATGTACCTTCTTGTATATAAATAAATAGGTGAATGAATAAAATAAAATAAATTGACGAGGTTTACTCGAGTTTACCTGAGAGCCATTAACACTAGTGGCCTCGTTGAGGACAGGAAGCCAACAGCTTATTGAAGGTCCTCCTCCCCCCCCACCATTTGTCTTTATGATCTTTTCCAGCTGTACTTTAAAAGTTAAAAATTTGGCATTTACGAGTTCGGCAGGAAATTCACAGTTATTCCCGTGTGGCAGCTCACCTCATTTCCAATGAAAAAATGCAAATTCTCTGGGCCCCTACAGCTAAACTACAAGAGGTAGACTTTTTACTAGGATTTTCTTAGCTTCCTGGATGCTAATTAACATTGTGAAAAGAAAAAATTATTTTCCTAGAACAATTTTTTTTTTTGTAAGCACCACAGGGTTGTCATATTTAAAAGGGAGCAGTGCAGGGGTCAATTAGCTTGAAATAGTAAAACACTTGTAGGGCGATACAGTCTCTCGGAGAAAATTCCACTATGACTACCCCCCCCCTGACAAGATGTTTCCAGAAGGTAATAATTTTTCTGGGACAAAGATATAAAAGGTAAATATCCCCTTGAACAAACATAATAAAACCAGAACTAGATAGACTGGGAATAAACCAGAACAATATATAAAGATACTTCAATGCAAAGTGAACCTGTAATATACTGATAATTTAAGCCTCCATTTTGGAGAGAGATTTGAAAGCTGCCTGAAAGCAGGACATGACAAACAGAAGAATACTCACATCCTAAGAAACAGAAGTAGTGGGCCTTCAAGGGTATGAATGCCGTGTTGATCTTCATGTTTACCTTGGCGACACAATACTGCACACCTTTAACTGTGGACCTTCTTCCAGTTGCCTCATCCCTGCCAAGTTCAAATTGAAATGGTATTAATGCCATAATGAAAGGGTTCTGCAATACAATAGTCTGTTTTTTTTATTCAATTTGCAGGCAGGACAAAATTGGGCACATTTCTTTTCACCTGATGCACCTCTTCTTCCCCCCCCTAGCAGTAAATAGGTACCTGGAAGTTAGGCAACTGATATGATATTGGTTGCATCCTGGATAATTAGGTCAGTAGGCTCTAATTATTCAACATAAACACTTGATGCCTCTGTTGACCAAACAGCTAAATTAGATACCTAATTTGGCTGTTTGATTTCTGCATTTTACAACCTATTTATTTTTTACCCTAAAATCACCATGTCTCATACACAAGATAAAATTTTAATAAACTTAAAAGTCTACATATGAAGAACACAAATGAATCTGTAGATCAGATTCATTTCCTGTGTTAATTAAAGTGAGATTTCTAGCCATGTTTCCTTTCTCATGATACCTCTTTACCTCTTTTCACTTGTTACATGTGAAAAGGTGAAGGATAAATGTGAGGCAAAAAACAGTCTCTATGTAATACTGTACTGTATAAGAATAAGAGGAACCTGCAGAAGGCCCATTGACCATACCTTGATACCTTGCCTTACCTTGAGTTCATGAGAGTTCCAGGAAGGGACAATACTAATGAGATAACTGTGTTAATGATCTTACTCAAATCATTTTTTTAATTAATCAATTTAAAATTGATCCAAATTGTATAAACTATTACTAATGTTCATACTGTATGGCATTTTTAATTTGTATTAAAGCAGATTCAATAATGTTTCTGTTGGAAAAGCTTTTACAATAAATTATTGAAGACCTCTCCTAATGGATTTGGTAAGTTTTATTTGACATAGTTTCAGATAATTGGCCATTTTCTTACAGAATACTTCTGGTGTAAAATTTTAAATTTCAAATCTTTGGATGTTTGACCTGTATAGAATGTATTATAATCTTCACAGGGTATTTTGTAAAATTACCTGAATTTGACCTGAGTGACACAGTAACACACTAATGGCTTTGACAAGAACAGGAAGTCTGAAGCTTGTCAAGGATCCCCTATTTGTCCTGATGATTTTTTCAAGCTGGATTTTAAAATTCAACAGTTTTTGCATTTGCGGCTTAAGCAGGTAGGCGGTTTCATGGGTTTATAACCCTGTGGGTGAAAAAGCTTCTGTTTAGTCCTACATTGTTGCCTGTTGAGCTTGAAACTGTTGCTTCTTGTTTGTGTTACACTTGACCTTTTGAAGAAGTTGTCTGGATCATCATCCAAACTATTTAGTATTTTAAAAGTTTTGATGAGATCCACCCTGTCGTGCCTGGTCTGCAGTAGTGTTAGTCCTGTGGCCCTCAATCATTCTTGCTATGACAGCTGACTTAGTTCTGGAATGAGTTTTGTTGCCTGGTGTTGCCTTCTTTTTCCCGAAAGTCAAAAGTACAATAGGCTTAATTTTTCCTAGCTTTTAGTTTGCTTTCTCTACTGCCCTTCCCACTTGTGCAAATTTCAATGAATGTTCGATTCTGACTCTAAGGTCATTTTCTTCATAAATCTGCTGCAAGGTAACGTTAATTTCGTAGTTGTGACAGGAATTATTAGGCCACACATGCAAGGTCTTGCATTTTTTCAATATTAAAAAATTGCACAATTATCACTACGAGGGGCTGTTTCTAACAAATAAGTTTCCAACTACTGTATATTTTCATAACAAAACAACATACGTATATAAAAGTTTCAAGGCCTTGACAACATCAATGGTCAAGGCTTTTGACCCAGAAAAATATGGTAAGCATAACTTTTTGGGGGCAAATTTTCTCACTGCATATTTTGTTGTACAGTATGTACATAGAGCTTTTCTTTGGCAACCTGCCAAAAAACTTAAGTGGCTAACAAACCTTGAGACCAATAAAATAAAATAAGATAAAATTTTGATTAACAACTCGGTCTTCTTAGATATATAGAAGAAAAACATTTCACATTGTATCTATGCCCTGAGAAATAATGAACATAAGATAAATTATTTGTAGGTTTTCTGTAAACACTAAACTCTAGTAAAAAAAATCTTTTCTACGAGTAAGGATAGCCAAAAATAACAAACGTACATCAATTTCAGTCTAGTAAATGTCAGAGGTGACTTGATCATTAAGTTTAGCTAAAAAAATCATCAGAATTCACATTTAAAGGCCAAATATGCAAAATATCAACATAACTAACAATGGAATGATTCCAGGGGGTAATTTTAAAATTAAAAAAAAAATAAAATCCATGTTCAAATTTGAAAGCAATGGAGATAATGAATTCCCACTGTCATTACAAAAATCTGTAGATAATAATTATTAAAAGTAAATTTACATTCTTTTATACTTAGTTTCACAAGACTGGCAATTTAGTAATAATAGAAGGCAAAGGTCATGATTCATTAATTCATTATCAAGTTAGTTTAGTTCATTTATTATGCACCTATACCCATCTTGTGGACGGTAGTGGAAAGGGTTACAGAGGCACATAATGGGCTATGAAGGTAATCAAGAATATCAACAGAAACATTAGTAATATTCTTGATTACCTTGCTCATGAATTAATGAATTATGATGTACCTCTGTCTGCTTTATTCATGGGAAAGAATTTTCACTTGTGTTTACGGAAAACCGACAAATAATTTATCTAATGTTCATTACATCTCAGGGCATTAGATATCATATCATATGTGAAACAAATAATTGTTAGTGTTACAATACCCACCAGACAAGGGTTAAGTAAACGCGTCACGGACTGTAATATATATATTCTATAACTATGAACTCTACAACTATAAATGATATAACTATGAATATATAACTATGAATTCTATAACAATAATCTATGAATTAAGTGTACCAGGCCGAGGACGAGCGCGAAAGCCCCGGTGTTGTGTTTACCTGTAGCGTCCGGGCTGGTCGGTTGTCTCCCACCAGCTGCTCTACCATTTTCTCTGATCCTCGCCGGGTATTGTGGCGGATACTGAGGTCATTATGATTTTTATTTTTTTATTTATATATATACAAGAAGGTACATTGGGATTGTGAGGATACATAACATTGTAATTACAATCTTGTAAAGCCACTAGTACGCGCAGCGTTTCGGGCAATTGTTTTTCCGGTTCACATATTTAAGCGGATTTAAGAGTTATTCGCGCCATAATTGTTGGAAGAAGAACGTGAGAATATTGATTATACTGATTTAAAGTTTTGTTGTTCACCAAGTTTTTGAAAGTTTGTCGTAGCAATGCTCAACATACACAGTGAGCACATAACACATTCCCAGCGCCGGCGAAAAACAAAAATGGGCAGAGTTTCTTTCACCCTGCTGCCCCTGTTACCTAGTAGTAAATAATACCTGGGAGTTCGACAGCTGCTACGGGCTGGATCGTGGGTGGGTGGGTGGGTGGGTGGGTGTGTGTGTGTGTGTGTGTGTGTGTGTGTGTGTGTGTGTGTGTGTGTGTGTGTGTGTGTGTGTGTGTGTGTGTGTGTGTGTGTGTAATTACCTAAGTGTAGTTACAGGATGAGAGCTACGCTCGTGGTGTCCCGTCTTCCCAGCACTCTTTGTCATATAACGCTTTGAAACTACTGACGGTCTTAGCCTCCACTACCTTCTCACCTAACTTGTTCCAACCGTCTACCACTCTGTTTGCGAAAGTGAATTTTCTTATATTTCTTCGGCATCTGTGTTTAGCTAGTTTAAATCTATGACCTCTTATTCTTAGTTCCAGGTCTCAGGAAATCTTCCCTATCGATTTCATCAGTTTGTGTGCGTACTCACCTAGTTGTGCTTGCGGGGGTTGAGCTCTGGCTCTTTGGTCCCGCCTCTCAACTGTCAATCAACAGGTGTACAGGTTCCTGAGCCTATTGGGCTCTATCATATCTACACTTGAAACTGTGTATGGAGTCAGCCTCCACCACATCACTTCCTAATGCATTCCATTTGTCAACCACTCTGACACTAAAAAAGTTCTTTCTAATATCTCTGTGGCTCATTTGGGCACTCAGTTTCCACCTGTGTCCCCTAGTGCGTGTGCCCCTTGTGTTAAACAGCCTGTCTTTATCAACCCTGTCAATTCCCTTGAGGATCTTGAATGTGGTGATCATGTCCCCCCTAACTCTTCTGTCTTCCAACGAAGTGAGGTTTAATTCCCGTAGTCTCTCCTCGTAGCTCATACCTCTCAGCTCGGGTACTAGTCTGGTGGCAAACCTTTGAACCTTTTCCATTTTAGTCTTATGCTTGACTAGATATGGACTCCATGCTGGTGCCGCATACTCCAGGATTGGTCTGACGTATGTGGTATATAATGTTCTGAAAGATTCCTTACACAAGTTTCTAAAGGCCGTTCTTATGCTAGCCAACCTGGCATATGCTGCTGCTGTTATCCTCTTGATATGAGCATCAGGGGACAGGTCTGGCGTGATATCAATCCCCAGGTCTTTCTCTCTCTCGGACTCTTGAAGTATTTCATCTCCCAAGTGATACCTTGTATCTGGTCTCCTGCTTCCTACCCCTATCTTCATTACATTACATTTGCTTGGATTAAACTCTAACAGCCATTTGTTCGACCATTCCTGCAGCTTGTCCAGGTCTTCTTGAAGCCTCAAGCTGTCCTCCTCTGTCTTAATCCTTCTCATAATTTTGGCGTCGTCAGCAAACATTGAGAGGAATGAGTCTATACCCTCTGGGAGATCATTTACGTATATCAGAAACAGGATAGGTCCAAGTACAGAGCCCTGTGGGACTCCACTGGTGACTTCACGCAAGTCTGAGGTCTCACCCCTCACTGTAACTCTCTGCTTCCTATTGTTTAGGTACTCCCTTATCCACTGGAGCGCCCTAGCAGTTACTCCTGCCTGTTTCTCTAGCTTATGCATCAACCTTTTATGGGGTACTGTGTCAAAGGCTTTCCGACAGTCCAAAAAAAATGCAGTCCGCCCACCCTTCTCTTTTTTTGTTTAATCTTTGTC